TCCTTCGGTCTTCAGTGTGCAGGCACCCTCTGCACGCTTCCTCATACAGCTCTCTGGCTGATCGTCGTAAGCCAATCTTGTAATTTCTTGCACATTTGTACATCTTGTGTTGTATCTGTTTCCCCAGTAAAACCCTGACTGATTCACCCATCCACAGTGATTTTGCTATACCACGTGTAAGTTGTGGTGCTGGTGTCCTGTGTTCTTCAGTTCAAAACATGTTTAAGCTTCTTGAGATTTCCCGTATGTCTTTCAGAACGATGCTTCACCCGCCCTGTGTTCCCGTGCCTGAGTGCTAGCTGCCTTCCATCAGACTTGTAGGGTGTGCGTCGTGTTCCTTCTGCTATTGGGAGTTGTGCTCAATACCAGCTCAAACCACTGGGGCGCACGTGCGGCTGTCCCGTTGGGTGGTGGGTGGTACAAGCCTCCTGGTGGGACTGGCTTGTACAGCCTCTGGTTCAAGCTGGCAGGAATGTAACACGATCAAGTCAGAGCTGCCTGGCAGCGAGACACACAGCTGAGGGCCCTGCCACGGAGGTGCTAATGCCCTGTGTGTGAGGTCCTGGGGCATGAGAGCGCTTGTCTCCAGTCTTCACCCTGAGAACCCAGAAGGACCCTAGAACGAGATCTCACCAGCTGAAGGTCTCCCTGGCGACAGGCCCCTCTCAGGCCTAAACTTATAGACGCGTCCACCTGCCTCTCAGTTTCTGCTTTAGAGTGTTGTGATTGTCTGTGTTCTTCTGCTTCTCCAGTCTTGGGGGCAGTGGTCATCCCCGTGTCCTGAACTTTCTGACACGTGTAAGATTTGTTGATTCTCAGTTCAGCAGACTTCTTTCTGGTTGTGCTAGTGGTGGAGCCCCGGACCTCCCACAGGCTGGGCAGGTACTCCCCTCTGAGCTACCGCCCTGTTTGGCTCCCGCCATGTTGTGAGGAGGGAGTGCAACCTCAGGTTCTCTCCAGGCCGTGGAGTGACCGGAAGTGCCCCCTTTGGTTGTCTTGGTGGTGGTGTAAGAGACCGGGCTCGGAGCCGCCTGCTGTTAACTGGCTTTGCTCGCGCCTGGGCCCTCTGGACGCGGGGAGGAAACTCGCATGTGTATGTCTAGTCCCTGTGTGTACGTGTTGTCAAATCAGGTCTGCACGTAGCCGAGGCGCCACTCACAAGGAAAAGCGTTCACACCAGTTACCCAGCTCCTTCTCAGCATCGCATCATGACCTCGCCTGCAGACTTTATTTTTAATTGCTCCTTCCTGATAAGTAGGATTTCAGGACAATTTGTTTATTAGTCCCTGTCCGCACTCCACAGCGATCACGTGCATCGCGGGGACTGGCTGTGAGCTTCCTTCTCCTGGCCCTCTCTCCTTTTGCAAAAAGCTGTCTTACTTTCCTCTTATCCTTTATTTTGCTCTTTAATTTGTTTCTACTTGGGTTTCTTGTACAAGTGAAACCATGGGATATTTAAGCTTGGATAGCTGATTTATTTCACTCATCACTGTGGTCTCAAGGTGCATCCACTTTCCTACAAATCCCTCAAGTTTATTCTTCTTTATGTCTGAGTAGAACTCCCTTGTGCATAAATGCCACATTTCTTTATCCCTTCCTCTGCTGATGGTCATCTAGGCTGCTTCCAAAATTCAGCTGTTGTGAGTTGGTGCGGCCATTCATCTGCTGTTTGCCATTTCACTTTTAGTCGGTGTGGTTGGTGGATGTCCGCACTCTCTCTTGAGTACTCACTGCTTCCTCTTCATTCTGAGCATGCTGTCTGTGCATGGGGAATGACTTGCTTGTTTTTCAGTAACTGGCCCTTTGCTGGCGTGGTGACACAAGCCTGTAATTCCAGCACCCTAGGAGGCTGAGGCAGGAGGATCACAATTTTGATGCCAACCTGGGCAGTTATCGACTTAGCGAGACCCTGTCTCAAAATAAAAAAAAGAGCTAGGGACGTAGCTCAGTGCAAAGACTCTGGTTTCAATCCCCAGTGCCACAAAACAAAACAAAAATCAAGTCAGAACAGTGCCTTTTCTCTTCTTTAATGCCTTCCTCATTGAGATGGAAGAGCAGAACAGCCCCGTGTGCCCCGAGGGGGCCAGCGCCCGGGGACGCCCCCTGGGTGCAGTGCGGAGGGCACTTCCTGTTTTGTCGCTGAGCATGCTTTTCGCTCTGTGTGTGGGGGTGCTGGAGTGTGTCCACTCCCATGTGTGGCCTTGGGACTTCCCAGCTGATCGGGGCTGTTAAGAGGGGCGATGGGGTGAGAGGTTCTGCAGTGGAGCAGGGTTGCAGCCCATGCCAAGGAGGCCGCACGCTGCCCAGAGGCCCCGCTCTGTGCACAGGGGCTGGTGCTTGGGTCTTGGGCCTCGACGATGCAGGCAAAGTGGACTTCTGTGCTTTGTGAGTCACTGCGTGGTTACAGCAGCACGCACTAAGACAGGTCGCTTATTTGTCAGGAGAGATCCTGGATGAGACCGTAAACAAGTTCCCGTCCAGTGACAGCTTACTGGGGGTGTTTTGTTTGTTTTATTCTTTATTTCGGCTTGACCTTCACTGAGGTGTAAGTAACAAAAGTATATGTGTTCAGGGTGCACACGGTGGTGCTTGGACCTGCAGATACGCACAGTGAGAGGTGAGGACTGGTGAGGTGAAGCCACACGTCCATCTTCTCACACACTGTCTTGTGCTGATTGTGCAAAATGAAGGAAGCCGGCAGGGACAAACGTGTAATACACGCTCATGCTTAGGAGCGCAGCCTTTCCCAGAAAGCTGAACTCGCAGAGCGTGGAAGGGTGTGACCAGGCATCGGGAGCGGGGAGGGGCGGAGGGGCAGTCCGAGCGCGGGAACTTTTGCTCCGGGGCTGTGGCAACGCTCTGCAGCGCCGTGTGATCACTGCTTCCCATCCCCGAACAGAGCCCCCGCGCTGCAGCAGACGGGCGGCATCAGTGTGCCGTGGAGCTCGGCGGGAACATCGCCGGCACTGTGTCCGGGATGCTGAGCCAGAGCGGTGGCCACGCTCAGGGGACAGCAGGCCAGGGCCCACAGCTGCCCTTCCTGTGAGGGCCCCTCCAGGACCATACTGGGATCCAAGGACTCAGACAGCGCGAGCGTGCCCAGCGACGCTGGCCCAGCACCTGCGCCGCGGACTGAGGCGGCCGTGAAGTCCTGCTTGAGACACAGGCGGGCTCCTGCTTGCTTCCGGGGCTGCGGTGAAGGCCGAGCTCTCTGAGCAGCTGGACTTACTTCCCACCATCGAAACAGGCGGCCTGGCCTAGCAGCCGTGGGGTGCGGCGGGGGCTAGAGCCGAGGCTGCCTGTGCACCCTGCGCCGCTGCCGTGCTGAGGGCGGCCACCCCCGGACCGAGGCCTGGGGGACTTTGTGCTGGATGTGAAGGGCAACAGGAGAGCCGCGGAGCTGGGGTTGGGCGCCAGGCTCCCGCGGGGCAGGAGCTGGCCCTGGTCTGTGGCTCTGCCCCGTGCTGCCCCTCAGAAACTCCCTCGGTGGAGGAGGGTGACAGCCCCGAGGCGCGTATCGAGAGCCTGGGCTCATCCTGTGCACCCTGCTGTTTCCCGCGGATGCCCTTCTGGAGCTGCGGGCAGGAGGGTCCTGGAGGGACGGGCAGCCTCCTGCCCACGCTCCCTGGATGTGCAAAGCCACCTCGGCCAGCTTCTCACTCTGAACCCCAGGCACAGGCCCAAGCCTGAGACCACCCTGGGGCACCCCCCCCCGCCCTGCCCTGGGCTGCCCCCAGCTGCCCAAACCTTGGACTCTGAAGGTCACATCACAGATGAGACTGATGACTCCTTGCCCCCAAGGCTCATGCTGGCCCGTCAAGCCCGCCGGGCACAGGCCAGGCCCTCCGCGTGAAGCTCGGCACCCCAGGAGTCTGCCCCCTCAGCCTGCCGCCCAAGAGGCCCAGCAAGCCTGCCCTGTGCCCCGTCCCCTTCCAGCCCCCTGTTCACCTCTGCAGCTTGCAGGTGGGGACCCTGCTCCCAGCAAAGCCGGAGCCTCTGCCGGCTATAAGAGCTGTAAGAACCACCTGTGGTGCCGCCTGTGTCTACGTTCGGATCCTTTGCTGCTGCTGCCGGTCAACCAGCCGGCAGGAACACTCCTTGGGCGTAGAACAAAGGCACTGGACAGCAGAGACTTGCACAGGAGGAGGTAGGAGTGGCGTCCAGCTGGGCGTCCTGTATGCCGTTTTACTCAGTGTTGTTATGACGACTCTTTCATCTTGCAGGAACGGGAGGGGGAAGGGAAGAAGGAGAGATGGGGGAGGGTAGTGCAGGTGAACGGGACCGTCAGCTGCAGATCTCCTGCAGGGCAGGGCGGCCGGTTAAGGTGCATGGCTGGTAGAGCTCAGAGAAAGTCAGTGTCACATGTCCCATGTCCCTGTGTTTTCAGTGCAGAGCAGAGGACCCTGGACTCCATAGCCTTTGCAAAATGAGGAATGGGCAGGCACAGCCTCCAGCATCTGCAGAGGGAACAGGCAGGACGTCCAGGCTGCAGTGCTCCAGCCAGCCCTGCGGAGGCCGCACAAGAGGCACCTGGAGCCACCTGATGCCCAAGGCCAGGGTCGCTTCCCCAGCCCTTCCCCCTTGTTTCTGGGATAGCAGAGGTGGTTTTCAATAAGTCGATGTTTCTTATAATAAAACCTGACCCAGATGCAGTGGTCCTGCAAGCTCATCTCTGTGTGCTGTGGTTCCTGCCTGCCGCAAGGGTCTGAGCAGCGGTGGTCCTCAGTACAGGGGCTCAGCCGAAAGCGCAGGGGGCAAGGTGACTTTGGAGACTCTCAAGGTCATCGGCATACCGAGAAGGGACTACAAGACCTTCTAGGGGGCCAGGCAGCAGCACAGAACCACCGCGGCCCACGAGGTGACAGAGAACAGGGTGCCGAGTGGCAGTGAGGGCCGCAGGCGGTTAGGACTTCACCGGCCCCTGGGCCCCCGCGTCCCGTCCCCTCTAGGGTTCCGTGCCCTGGTCACGACGGTGGTATCCAGCGTGGGAGCATAGCACGATGGTCCTGCGGCTGTCTGTGTCCCTGTGGGTGGTCTGCAGTTGGAGCAGTGATGAGCGCATTGCTGCGAACTTCTCACTGTGTTGCAGGGGATGGTGTGAAGGCCAGGGCGTCCTCTCCCCTCCTCCAGCTTCTCTGTTACCCTCACTGCAGTTGCCATGGCAGTGCAGAGGCTAAATGTGTGTGTGTGTGTAGCTTTGTTTCAATAAAACTTTATTTATAAAGCAGCAGGGCCAGGCCGGAGAGAAGCTTGGGTGGCTTTCATTCGCAGTCACCCGCTCAGCGCGAGCTGGGTCGGAAGCCTGGGAAGCCATGGGTTCTGTCCTTGCTGTTGAGGGCGTGGGGAGGACTCAGAAGCCGCTTGGTTTAGCTTCCGTTTCACACTGAGCCCAGCACAGCAGAGGGCATCATTAGCTGTGGACAGACAGAGACTCGGGCGGCCACGTCCTGTTCCTCTCAGGGACATGGGCCCCGACCTTCACCAGTGATTGAAGTGACCAGGTGGAATCATGAGCACTTCTTTCCTTGTGTTCAGGTTGTCCCCAAGTGCCCAGCTGTCCAGCTGCCTGTGTCCATGTGTCTGTCCCACTGCGGGGTTGGACACGAGTGCTCCCCTGCCCAGAGCTCCCGGCTGGCCCAGCACCCACGGAGACGCTGGGCTGAGCCACCCGCCCTGGCTGAGTCAGTACAGACCAGGGATAGAAGTGAGGATCAGTGTTGGGACAGGCGGGCACTACCGTGGCCTCCTGCCACAGCCCACTCAGAGTGCTTCGGCCCTGGCCCCACCACAGGCCACCGAGGTGGAGGGGCAGGAGCTGTGTGCCAGCTTCTCACATGCATCCCTGCACCTAGGACGTGCGTGTGTCTTGTGTCCTGTCCAGACCCGGAACTTGAGAACTTGAGCCGAGCTGGGGAGCGTCTCTGTGGACGCTGGACTGACCGAGTGCCTCACGGGTGAGGTGAGCCCCAGCTCTGCTGCAGAGGTGCTTTCTACAGAGAGGCTCAAGGACACCCGCAAGGAGAAGACAACCGTGCGACAGCAGGCAGAGCAGGGCCACTGCTCTCCAGCCAGGGGACACTGACCTTGGCCACCAAGAGCCGGCGGAGACCAGCAGGGACCCTCCCCTGAGCCTTCAAGGGAGCGCGGCCCTGCCGGCCCCTGGATGCTGGAGTTCCGCCTCCGGGCTGGGGAGCCTGATCTGCGCTGTTCCAAGCCGCATGGCTGGTGGCAGCCAGGGGAGGCAAACACGGTCTATGGCCGGGTGCCCAGGGTTATCAGGAATTAGCCACGGAGTCCCACTTTCCCTCCATCTTACCTGGTTGTGACTACCCGGGGAACTGAGCTAGGAGAGAGCGAAGGGGAACGGTAACTGTGACGGGGCGGGAGCCTGGAGCCCAAAGCGTGTTTCTGCGCTGAGCAAGGGCTGCCCCTGAGCGTCCCCCCCGGGGAAGTCTGCTGGGAACACAGGACGCCGCGTCCTCGTCCACCGCAGCCACCGATCTGTCACCCTGTGCTTCCGACTGTTCTCCAAAGTCAGAATGACCGCCAGGGGGAAAGATTTTGTGTCAATTGAGGACATCGAGGCAGCCAGGACGGCCCAGCTAAAGACGCTCAGGAAAGAGGACTCCAGAGCTGCTGCAGGACGTGGCCGGGACCATGGGATAAGTGTGTTCAAAGCCAGGGGGAGTATGCGGCAGTGTGTCTTCAATGCGTCTTATTAATTTAAACGTTCACTGTATATTCTGATCGGCCCCTTCAGTGCTCAGTTATGCAGCATGCCACACACAGCTGTGGGCTCAGGATGTGGGCACCCTCGGGGCCAGCCCTCTGCCCACGTTCGGGAAGGGGAGACTGCTCCTCACTGTGGCCATCTGGGGCGGCAGCCACCTTGCCACCCCCGCCCCACCCAGGTCCCTGGGGACGGAGGAGCCCCGCCCGCCCCACCGGGCCCTCTGCACGGTCCCCGCTTCTCCTCTGCAGCTGCTGTGCTGCCCTTGGGTGGGCCTCGTGCTGGCCCCGGGAGGCAGGGCCACTTCTACCGCCCTGCTCCACCGAGCCACACATTTGGATGGTGCCCCTGACTACATTTAGAGTCCTCTCTGCACGTCTGTGGAGCTGTCTGAGCTTGGAGGGGCAATGGAGGAGGCCAGCCGGTCTCGTCCTCACGCTCCGCTGGCTGAGCCGTGCAGGCTGTGTCCACCAGCGCACTCCTGGGACCTCATCCCATGTGTCCTGGACCCCAGGGTTCACTGCACAGAGCTAAGCCGGGTGCATCTCAGGGCTCGGGCACCGAACCTGGGACCAGAGGGGTTCGGGGCAGGGTGGCGAGAGGGTGAGTAAGAGAGAGCCGGGGCCCAGGCTGATGCACAGCGGGTGACGCGCCGCCCAAGGTGCTGAGCGCGTGTGTGTAAGGGAGCAGCCACCGCGTAAGCTCAGGGGACACTGAGTTCCCAGCTTGTCCAGAGCCCGGAGCAAGGGCACATGGAGGTCCACAGCCCTCCAGGTGGGGGGGGTCTCACCGGGCCTCCACCCAACCTGTCCCCACCTCCCACCCACAGGTCTCTTCCAGGGCAGGAACCGGGTGGCGTGGGTTTGTCCCTGGGGCTGAGGACTGTGCCTCCTTCCCCTGGAACATCTGTGGTGGCTGTGTCACAGCCTGGCGTGGCCTCTTTCGCTGGAGTTGCTGGAGGCGGTGACACATTTCTGTGTCCTGGCACCAAGACGAGTCTTTGAGGGCAAGAGGGGGCTCTGGAGGTGCTGCCCTCCTGACCAGGGCACAGGCCGCCAGGTGCCGTCCTTGAGGCTGAGGCCAGGTCCCCCAGCTGCCGAGGTGCTGGGGCCGAGGACGTCATCGGGCGTGGCCAGCGTTCCCTCGAGACGGTTCTGAGCGGCGCTGCTCACGCTCCCCACCTGCCCCGTGGGGTCAGAACCCCGTCCTCAAGCTGCCCCGGCCCTGAGGCCCTTCAGTCCTGCTCGGCTCCTGCTCAGCCGCACTTGGCGGCTGCAGGACGGCCGGGATCCGGGCGCTGTGCCCGAGGTGTTCGGCAGGGATTCAGCAGGGACTTCTGCTAAACATAAAATAAAACTTCTCTTCCGCAGTCGCAAGGCTGAGGCAGAGGCGGAGCATGCGCGGGTCACGTTCCTGCCGCCCAAGGTGCTGAGCGTGTGCGTGTGCAGAGGACGCGAGCCGGGCTTTGTCGTCCTCCACCCCGCTACCCCCGTCCCTCCAGGTGGGGTGCCGCTGCCGGTGCTGCTGGCCTGCGGACCTGGAGGCCGCTGTGGCCTTGAGGATGGTGAAAACTGGGCCTCCCCTGGCAAGGCGAGGTACAGGGCTCCCTCTGCTGGGAGCTGTGATTCTGAGTCGGGGCTGCCGGGGTTCAGGTTCAGCCAGGTGCCAGCCAATGGGCACCGCCGGGCCACCCTTCCCTCCCTCCCCGTGAGAGGGGCTGGTCCTTGCCACGTCTTCCCGGCTCAGAGACCCGGGCCTGACCCCGCAGAACACACCTGGAGTGGAGCCAGACGCCAGGTGACACCTGAGGGCCCCAGGGCGCTGGGTGCCAAAGCTGGGGAAAGAAGGGCTCCCGGGCCCCTGCCTCTGCCCATGGGCTGCAGCCTCTGCCTGACGCCAGACCCCAAACCTCTTTCAGTTTTGCCTCCTCCGGCTGGCGCACGCTCACCTGCACCGGCAGCTTAGAGCAAGGGTGTGGCCGCCTTGGACTCTCCCCCGCTGGCATGATCAGCATTTGATTCCATTTCCTCCATTTCTGAGAAATGAAGGTGATGCAAAACGCAACACAACAAACGCAGCGTCTTATCCCCCTCGCTCACTGAGAGCAGAAGGGATCCCCGCGGGGGGAGCTCACTGCCCGCCGCGCTGCGCACCACAGGGAGAGTCGGCCGGAGGAGAGGTGCCCCTGGGCAGACCGGCCCGAGGGCAGCCGGCGGGAGGGGCTGCTCCGCGCGCGCACTCTCGGGACCCCTGCGCGGCTCTCGCTCAGGAATGGAGCTGGGCGGGGCTGAGGGCTGTGCACGGTCCGGCGGCCAGCGCGCCTCCCACGGCCCACGCACCCGCAGAGGAGGCTGCCTGGGAAGGAGGAGGACCTGCCGTCGGGGACGGGCGTGTGCGCCTGGCTCGACACACTCAAAGCGAGCAAGCAAGTGGAAGTGGGGTGCAGGCCGGGCCTCCGCGGCGTTCCTGGACCGCCGCAGTGTGACAGCCGCGAGACAGTTTTGCAAAAGACAGAGAATTATTCACAAGGCGGCCGCGTGTGGCAGCGGGATCCCTGGGGGGAAGGGCTTGGACTGCGGGGGACGAGGACACAGCCGGTCCGATGCGGACGGGTGCGGGAGGTGCCCTGGTCAGCGGCTTGCGGGTGCGAGATCCGTCCTCACGCCTCCTCACGGCCGCATGTTCAGAAAATGGGGGTTTTCAGCCCCTGACGCCGGGGCTCACCCAGCAGACAGCTGAGCGGGCTCCGGCCAGGTGTCGTGGTTTGGGTAGGAGTGGCCTTCGTGTCGCCGAAGAGCAACCCAGGCCACCGTCAGCATCGCGCCCGGCGACGGCGGTGCCCCGTGCAGCAAGGTCAGTGGGAGGCGAATGACACCTTGCTCGGCGGTGCGGCCCGGAATTAGTGATTTTAACTTCAGCTAGAAGCAGATCGATGAAAGCACGCAGGGCTGGAGGGTCAGTCGGGGCCCCGTGGTTCCAGAGAGGGTTCTGGGGTGTCCCAGCAGAACCGTCGGGGCGGGAGAGCGGAGGTGACAGGCGGGGACAGGATCGGAGTGTGCTGTGGCGTGTGCACCGGGGACAGGATCGGAGTGTGCTGTGGCGTGTGCACCGGAGATCGCCTCGAGGACCCGTCAGCCAGATGACATCCGCCCTGGGGAGGCAGGAGCAGTGTGCCCGGTGACCAGCTCCTGCTCCCTGCGGGGCTCGGGACGGCGCTTGGGTGCTGCGGGGTCTGTGCTGAGTCCCCGCTCCGGGTGCCTCCTGGCTTGTCCCCCACCCCTTCCCTTCTGCAGTCTGACGACCGAGTCATCCTGTCACCTGACCACATCTGCTCTGAAGACGGTCGTCTCAGGGCTCCAGTCTTTAGCCCTGTGACCTCCCACTCCATGGACAAAGCCTCCCGGCAGCCAAAACCCCAGCACCATGGGAATCTTCTCATCACGCAGCTGAGGCAGGGACGGGGACCCCGTGTCAAAGGGACCTGCTGGGCTCCTGCCCCTGCCATGGGCGAGGCTGTGGCCACAGTGCCCCCTAGTGGCTGGAAGGCACCATTGCCCTGTCTACTCTGCAGGGCAGCTCTTGCACCCAGGGCCTAGAGCTGCACAGGAAGTAAGGAATTTGTCCCAAAGACATAGGCACAAAATTATGAAATGAGCCCTGCCAAGGTGTCTGTTTGCTGCAACACTATTCATAGCATGTGGTTTGGATCTGGAACGTCCCCGAGAGCTCCGGAGGTAGAAATCTTGGTCTCCGGGGTGCAGGGCTCGGGAGCCTGGATCACAGGGCTCTGGCTCCCCCTGCGGATGGGCCCATCGTGCTGCTGCGGTCTGTTGGCCCTGTGGAGTGTGGTGGGAACCGTGGCAGGGTCCCCTTGGAGGGAGCGCGTCACGGCGGTCGTGGCCTTGCAGACTCTCTCTGGCTTCTGTCCCCTTCCCCCTCTGCCTCCTGGCTGACGGGAGGTGAGCAGCCACCCTCCACCACACCCTTCTGCCTGGTGTCTGCTCCGAGCCCGCGCCCTGGCCGGCACGGGGCCCGAGAGCCCTCTGCTGTGGGCGGCTTCCCTCTGTCTGTGCCCAGTGATGGGAAGCGACCAGCGTGGGGAGCTGTCCATGCTGGAGACAGCGAAGGCCTCACTGCGCTGCCCAGGGCTGGCGCCAGGACCACAGCAAGGGCAGACCGAGAAGGGCCCACCTCCAGGCACAAGGGCTGCATTTCTGTGAGAAAGAGCAACAGCAGAAATACAGGCATTTGGGCTCTATGAAAGAAGACATGGATGGATAAACGCAAACGTAGGAAAGCGATGACCTGCGGCAGTGGAGGGTGAGGTCACAGCAAGGGACTGTGAGCGAGAGGACGCCACAGCTACTGCACACGCCAGGGCAGCACCTGGGCGGGGGAGGACGGGGCGGCAGCTACAGTGGCCGGGGGGCTAGTGCGCGGATGCGGGGTGCCTGGACCCCACTCCGAGGCCTGGCTGTTACCGCCTCATAGAGTCGTTCTGGGCATGTGACTGTGTTTCAGCTGGGGACACTCTCAGGCCCCGGGCCTGCAGAGGGAATGGGGGTTTTCCCGGGGTGCAGCTCCTCCACCTGAGCACCCGGCCCTGATTCCTCTCCTCTCCTCTCCCCTCCCCTCCCCTCCCCTCCCCTCCTTTCCTCTCCTCTCCTCTCTTTTTCTCCTTCCTTTCCCTTCTCCTTTCCTTGCTTTTCTTTTTCTCCCCTTTCTTCCTCTTCTCCTTTGATCTTTGTGTAGATACTCACCAGTGAGCCAGCCATGTGCTCCTCATCCAGCTTTCTATGCCAGTGATCAAGCTGTCACTGCACAGAGACTTTGGCTTCTTTTCGTGAATACGCCCAGTGATGTGCCAGGCTCTTTCCAGGGGCCGCGTGGCGTTGTGTGCCGCGGAGGCTGGAGGATGACCCCGCCCTCCATCAGTGACTCTCCCCGGCTGTGGGGCGTGTGCTGTCTTTGGTGCCGATGACCCCACCTGGAAGGAGGGCCCCGTGACCAGGGGAAGGGGCTCCCAGCAGTCCACAGCCTTGCATGGCTGCAGAGTGAGACCTGTCTCAAAATGACAGCAAAACAATGTGATAAAGGAAAGGCCTTGGAAGTGAGAAGTGCTCTGACTTCGAAGGGGTCTAGGAGAAGCAGCACCCACGTGCCCGGGGAGACCTTGCTCGGCCGATCTGGACACGGTGGTGATTTAACCATCTGTGTTTCACAAGCAGAATCCGGTGAGCGTGGACGAGCTGCTGCGTGAGCACATGCTGCCCAGAGACGCGTGTGCCCAGCACGTCCACGGGGTGAGGGTCACGGTGGCGTCTGCCCACGAGTGGCGCTGTCACGGGCCTCGACGTCACCCGCTGGCTGCCCCAGTGCTTCTCCCCGTGTGAGTGGCACACTCCTACTTCGGCTTCCATTCGTGGCTGTTTCCAAGCAGTGTGACCGCAAACACCCTCCTTCCTTTACCTTTGGTTTTGTTTTAGAGACAGGGTCCTGAGCTCACCGCCTAGCTCAGGCTGGCCTGGAACTCACAGGAGCCCTCCTGCCTCAGGCTCTCAGTGTGGGGATGACAGGCATGCTTCGCCACGCCCGGCTATCTTTGTGCAAACATTTCCGTGGGGCAGGTTCTGAGGAGGAAATACCTACCTTTTAAAGGGAGGGGAAACAGGGACCAAGTTTCCCGGTAAACAGCAGTGCTGAGCTCGCTGCCAGGTGGCCTCGCCCCAGGGTGCCCACCTTTCTGCTTCTGTCCTGGTGTCTGCATGGCAGTTCAGTGCCTGGGCCCCAAGTGCCCACGTTGCCCATGGTGACCGCGAGCATTTGGAAATGGCGGTCACTGCATCCAAGCATCACCGGCCTCACCAGGGGTCAAGCAACACCTCTCAAGTTGGTGTCCAGCACATCGACAGAGCCCACAAACCCCGTCCTTGGCACGGGGACAGTCCCCTGCAGTCGCGAGGTGACAGCTGAGTGACCAGCCTGGGGCGGGCACTGGAGCGCCTCTCCAGGGACCAAGCTCGGTAACACACACCAGGCCACACCCAGGCGCGTCGCCGCGTCTCCCACTGAGCTGAGCCTTGGGAGGAGAGGACAACGGCGGCCCTTGAGTGGGTGGTCCCAGGAGAGGCTCCCCTGTCTCGTCCCCTTCCCTGAAATCGGAGGCGTCCCTCTGGTATCTCCTCTAGCCCGTTCGGTCCATCTCGAGAAGGAGGTGTTGCCTAGCAACAGAGAGGCAATGACGTCAAACTATTCTGTCCCTGCCAGGTGATACTTACCTCGGTTGATTATTAGCACAAAGGCTGGACGTGGCCAGCACCTTAAAGGGGCACGAAATCACCTGCGCCAAGGAGGGGACTGTGAGGGCGGCTTTGGAAGGGGTCTGGCTGGGACCAGATTTTTATGTCCTCAGGAAGAACCTTTGCCCTAAACCCACAGCTCCCTCGGCCTGCCGACGGCTGGTGAAAGGCTGCAGCCTCGGAGTTGGAAACTCAGCTTCCTCCGGGCTCACCGGCAGACTCTGGGGGCCGCTGGGGCTCACCAGGGTTGTGACCGCTGCTGAAAAACGCGCTGCGGGCAGCCGGGACACACAGGGGCCTTCCTGCTCCTCTGCAGAAGCTGCTCATAATTCGTACTGCAGCTAAGCCAGACTCGGGCACCCGATAAGTAACCCGGGCCCCAGCGCCTTGGAAACTGGGGCGCCTGTGGGACAGTTGGGGTGACGGCTGTCGCCCCATTGTCCAGTGGCGAAAGAGGGGACAAAAGAAAAGACATTTGCTCGTGAAAGAAACTGGGTGCTTTTGTTTTAATTTAAACATTTTTTTTGAGAAGGGGTCTCTCTATGTAGTTCAGACTGGCCTTGACTCCTAGGTAGAGGTTGGCCTTGAACTGACGTTGATCCTCCTGACTCAGCCTCCCTAGTGCTGCAATTACAGGCGGGCGCCGGCACACCCAGCTTAGGGTGCTTTTTCAGAGAGGGAGGGAGGCAGAGGGCCTGAGCTCGGCCTCTGGGGACAGTGGAGGAACTGGGGAGGCCACCAAGCAGGAGTGCTGAGCCTCCCTGGGCTCTAGGGCAGCACCTGGTGACTACCAGGGGCCGCGCCGTCTCCGTTCTCCCCAGGCGGCAGCGATTGTTACCTCTGCTGTATGTGTGAGTGTGTGTGTGAGAGTGTGTGAGAATGTGTGTGTGTGAGAATGTGTGTGTACGTGCACATGTATGTGTGTGCGTGTGTGAGAGAGTGTGTGAGTGTGTGTGTGAGAGTGTGTGCAAGTTGTGTGTGTGTGAGAGTGTGTGAGTGTGTGTGAGTGTGTGAGTGTGTGAGTGTGTGAGTGTGTGAGTGTGTGTGTGTGTGTGTCCCGGGCTGGGGGCCCTGGGGAAGAGGACCCACTCTCGGCAGTGGCGACTGGGGGTCGGGGAGGGGCTGGGAGCTCCCTGCAGAGGGGACCCTGACGCCACGCCTGCCCTTCCCTGACCATCGCCGCCTCCGCGAGGGCCTGGCTCCCCACACCCCGAGCCCCGTGCACACCAGGAGCGCCTGGCCTCGGCTCTGCACTCCGCCGCTCTGTGCCACACCGCGCTGCCACTGCTCACAAGGACAAGGGGCCACGGCGTGGGCCACGTGGCCGCCACATGGGGTCCGTCCAGAGGGGGCGGCTCAGCTCCCAGTGTAGTGGGGGTGTCTCTATTGTTGCAATTTCTTTTAATTTTTGCAAACTGGGGATTAAACCCAGGACCTTTACACTGAGCTCTACCCCCATCCATCCATCTATCTACCTATCTATCTACCTATCTATCTATCTATCTATCTATCATCTATCAATCATCAATCACTTATGTACCTATCATCTATCTATCTACGTATTATCTACCTACCTGCCTACCTATCATCTATCTATCATCTGTCTATCTATCTATCTATCTGCCTGTCTATCATCTATCATCTATCTATCGTGTCTGTCTACCTATCTATCTACCTGTCTATCTATCATCTATCTAGAGACAAGAGTTTAGGTAGGTTGGCCGGGCTGCATTCAAACTCGGGACCCTCCTACTTCAGCCTCAGAAAGGTACCATTATAAAGGTGTGAGCCACCTTGCCGCCTCCAGGAGATTTTTCAAGAGGAAGTGAGTCTACATAAAGGAGTGAACTGACTGTGCGTTCTGAGTGCCCCGTAGGGTCAGCGGTGCTGCGCACACAGACACGGTTTTAGTAAGGGAGGGCACTCACCTGCAGCACTCAGAGCGGCTTCGCGGTGCGTGCAGGACGTGGTGGGGCACAGCGGGTCCCAGGCGGGGCTGTGCCATGTGGGGCAGGTGGTGCTCACACAGTGACCTCCTGTGGCCTGGGCCCGTCCTGGGCATCGCTGGGCAGCTGGGAGTCCTGCGGGCCCTGCCTGATTTGAGCCGCCCTGCATCTGCTGCCGGTCCTTGCCCGTGGCTGCATCTGCTTCCCTTGGGCACCAGGCCGCCCCTCCACGGATGCCCAGTGTCGGCGCAGAGGCAGGAGGGCCTCAGACCGCGCCGTCCCCAGCGCCCCAGCCTACGGCTCCATCTGAGGCTCCTCCCTCCCCTCCTCTCCTGTGCCCCCTGCCTCAGCCTCCTGACTCCCCTCCTGATACAGGGGAGAGAAACTCCCAACCTGAACGATATCTGGGACGAGTTCGTGTTCTCTAACATCAAAGAGTGAATTTTAGGAACAGCAGCAGAGGTCAAGAGCAGAATACGTTTATTGAGGGAAAGAAAGCTTCTGTCTGAGAGAGGGACAGAAGAGGGGGCCCGAGTGGGTTGCCCAGGACTCTGCCTCTTTTAGGGATTTTTATAGAGCAAAACCACAAGGTGAGGTGGGTCCAAGGTGGGGGAAACATGGGAGCTCGCTAGGTGGACAGGAGGTGGGACAAAAGTATGGCCAGCCAATAAGATTATGAGTCTAATTTCTCAGGTAAAACTGATTAAATCAGGATCAGATGGGAAAGCGAGTCACGCAGCAAGCGGGCATGAATACAGAACAGGGGCTTTTCCTGGAGGGGGTTGGTGGCTCTTCCTGGCTTTTTCAAGGTGATTAATGCCTGTTTAGAATATCATCCCTGATGTCCACGCCTAGGGAGCTGTGTGGGCGCATCTGTTTAATCCTTTGTCTTGAGGTCTGGCCCACAGTGGAAGTGCCTGTCTCTCCCTTTGCAAGGTATCCCGCCTCCTGCACTGGCTCCTTCGAGGGCCTGGCCCTGTCGGACTGCCTATAATATTTCTGTCTAACAGCTGCCTGTAACACCTCCCAGCCCTCACTCCTCCTGCCAGTTTCTCTGCAGAGGCCACTGAGTGGTCCCCAAACCAATTGTTCTGTGGCAGCCAGAACTCCTAGATAATCGTCAAAACCCTTGACTTTGGGACTTCCCTGCTCCTTATGTGAGTCTCTCCTCTGTGAGAGGTAGGGCTCTGAGAACTGCAGGCAGAGGACAGAAGGGGGCAGAGCAGAGGAATGGCTGGGTTGGTATAAAAAGTCTTGGAGTCGGAATTCATTATTCCGTAGCACCTAGAAAAACTACTTAACCCCCCACCACTCCAACACCATCCCATAAGCCCCGCCCAGCTGCCAGCAGCTCTGAGCACCTCAGGTCCTCACGCCGGGACCCTGCTGCAGAGTCCTTGCAAGAGGTGATCAACTCTCCGCAGGCTCCTT